CTTCTGTCTTAGAAAGGCTGCTTCGTAGGGCTCTATTATTAACGGGGGTGGGGGGAACATCCTTACTTATTTAAGTATCAGTTCAAAGAATAAGAAAGGAGTGCTAATGTAGACAATTATCAGAAACCAAGGAATATAAGAAGGGCATCCTAGGCTGTGGGGTTAGGAGGGAACAGAAGATAAAACACTCCCCCCAGTGTGCTCACTAATTCCCTGCTTGATCTTGGGCAGCTCACCTCAAGGTGAGGTCTCGACCTTTCTGGGTCTCAGATTTTCCCATCTGGGAGATGAGGAGTTTGGACAAGAAGGTCTCCACAGTCTCCACTGGCTCCAAAGTTTCCATTTAAAACACATGTGTGACCCAGACAGCATTTGCTTCTCACCAGCTGCACAGCAGTACCGAGGGTGCCCAAGGACAGAAATAAACATGAACTACCACATGGATTTCTGTTTTGGTTATAGAAAAGCAAAATTGGATGGTCTCGTAGTTATTCTGTGTAGTTGCTGCACAGTATGTCATTCAAGTAGCTGAAATTTCCCAATCGAATTTGCCTTTGCTGATTTGGCTGTAGAATGTCCGCCTAGCCATAGGCTAACCACTTGTTTGACTTAAAACCACAGAAGAATGCTCCAACAATGACACGTTTCTATTTCTTCTCACCCAATCCTCCAAAATGAGCAAAGATAGGAATAGAAAGTAAGGGAAAAAAAAAAGAGCTAGTCAGTGATCTAGGTATTTTAAACATCTTGGTATTTGGAGACCTCTGGCTAATTCACAGCTTTTTTTTCTTTTTGGTTCATTTATCCTCCAGATGTTCACCGTCATGGAAGCGCCACTTGAAACTATTTCAGCTCATAACTTAGAAGTGGAAAAATTCGTATCTTTGTCTCTTTGTCCTTTGGTGCCCCATTTCCCCCTCACTCTTCTAAGTAGCTCTTCTTTAAAATCTCCTGGGAATGTGGCAGTTTTGCCAGATGCTTAGGTGTTAGCCGTCACATGTCTTTTTTAATCTTCACGACCATTCTGTACCCTGTCTGCTTGAATTATAGATTGCATTTGTCAAATAATGACACATGCAATTGGATGTCTTCTAAGACCTTTGAAATTCCACTTCCTTGAGTTGAGATTAAAGTGGGTATTATCTGCACGGCTGTGGTCAAGGCTGGGATGTTTGGAGACCTGCACAAAAGTTTTTCTAGGTCAGCCAGTTCCAACTCTTACCGTCTCTAGGGGAAAGAAAGCCAGCTCCCTTTTGCTGCTGAAAGGAGGAAATGGATACCGTAAAAACTACCTAAAAAGGGGGTCCCAGTTGGAAATGACCGTACAGTTAGCAACTTTTTGAAGCATGACTGTCCCTTGGAACGTCCTGACTGTGTGTTTCTTTGGGTGTTCAGGAAGCGTTATCTGTCGTGAGCGAGGACCAGTCATTGTTTGAGTGCGCATACGGCACGCCGCACCTGGCCAAGACGGACATGACCGCGTCCTCCTCCAGCGACTATGGACAGACATCCAAGATGAGCCCGCGTGTCCCTCAGCAGGACTGGCTGTCTCAACCCCCAGCCAGGGTCACCATCAAGATGGAATGTAACCCTAACCAGGTGAACGGCTCAAGGTAAGGAGACCGCCGGCTCTTGCTCTCCCAGACCTCTGGTTTTCCCACCCCTTGAAAAGGCAAAGTGGAAATTGATCACGCTTCCCCCGAGTTGGTTTCAGAAACTGAGGGCATTGAACAGTAACACTGGGCAATGCTGAGAAAATGTGTTCTCCAGTGGTTTGTGTGGAGGATAGATGTTGTAAAACCAGTAGTACATTTACCGAGAACTCGCTTTGAAGATGAGATGTTCAATTCCATTTCCCAGACGTGAGGGCTTTGTGGGAGGGGGCCTTGCCCACATATGGCAGAATTTGTCTCTGAGGTTTTTATTGCCTGGAAAGTAAAGCTGTCTTCTGTTTTCATGGAGGGAGAGTGTCAGCTAGTGGCCAGGCAGTGTAGCATATGTCCAAGCCATATGACATTGCTAATGGACCTACTTCTTGTGTCCTGCAGCCCCCCGCCCCCCAAACTTCTCTCCTCTGTCACCGTCTTTGAATGCTTGCTTTTTCTTCTCATCTTTACTTACACTTAAAACCAAGCACCAGTGTCACCCATAAGTATTAACTCTCCTGAGTTTGTCACGATAATGCTGCAGTCACCTAGAACGTATTAGTGAATTATCGAATGTATTATCCCTGACACTCAAAAGCATTTCTTTTTCTTTTTCTAAATTTATCTGTTTATTTTATTTACTTTTGTCTGCGTTGGGTCTTCGTTGCTGCGCGCGGGCTTTTCTCTAGTTGCAGTGAGCAGGGGCTTCTCATTGCGGTGGCTTCTCTTGCTGCGGAGCACAGGCTCTAGGCGCGTGGGCTTCAGTAGTTGTGGCACATGGGCTCAGTTGTGGCTCATGGTCTCTAGAGCACAGACTCGGTAGTTGTGGCGCACGGGCTTAGTTGCTCCGTGGCATGTGGGATCTTCCCGGGCCAGGGCTTGAACTCGTGTCCCCAGCATTGGCAGGTGGATTCTTAACCAGTGCGCCACCAGGGAAGCCCGCAAAAGCATTTCATTGGATGTAGTTTTGAAGAGTCAGGTTGATTTCAATTATGATATAGTACCCCATATATATTCAGAAAGAATCGTATCAAATCTCAAGACAAAGAAAGAATAATTTCATTTAAATTTGTATGATTTGCCCAGAGTCACAAGAGCAGCTCACAATTTTTAGTGCTTTACTATGTATAAAGCCCTTTACATCTGATGGCCTGTCAGTCCTCCAGGCAGCCCTGTGAGGAATGCTCATCCCCATTTGACGGATGAAGAAACTGAGACTCAGACATTTTCTGGCTAACCCAAATCAGCACTTAAAGCAACTCAGAATTTGGATTCCAATCAAGGGTGTTTGACTCCACACCCAGTGCATTTTCCCCACTCTGTCGCAGCTATAATAGGCCCTTTTTGCTACGTATATATTTTAATGCGAAATATGTTTTTTATAAGTGTCATGTTTTATAAGTGCTGGAAACCATTGCATCAACTTCTAGTGCGGTGTCCGTGAAGGTGCCAAGTCACAGCCCTCAGAGGGAATGTCAACCATGAGGCTGGACGTGCCAAGCAGGGAGATGGGAGGGGCCAGAACTTTCCTGGGCCCTGAGAAGTCAGTTCACTTCTGTGCGTCGAGTTTCTTCTTGAAAGTGGGAACGATAATTCTGATGTTACCTATTTGCTACAACACTGGTCCTTTAAAGGGAATTCAAGCCAAGGCAGACCCATCTTAGACCTCATCAAGGAGCTAATTCCTAGATTTCTGAAAGGACCATGGTAGAAAAGGCAATCATAGGGTCCAGGATGCCAGAGTCCCGGCCAGTTCCTCGTTATATGTAAATATGTTACAGGTAAATCCTATCCATCTGATACAAAGGTTCCACTGACCATTCACTGTATCTGTTTCTGAGACTTGGAGGCACGCAGGTTAATCCTGTTCTGAAGAAGGTAGCGGTGTTTATATAAAAGGGTAGTTGTGGAGCCAACCCTGTAAACATTGATGGATTCTAGTTTTTGATGGAGTCACGTGATCCCGTGCATGCCGGGGCAGTCACGGTGGGAGCATTAAGAGCAAGATGCATTTCTAAAGCGTTCTTCCAAGGCTAGTTTCTACCTATGGGAAATACATCAGCATGTGTGTGTGCGTGCGCGCATGTGTGTGTGTGCGTATGTGTGTGTGCGTGTGTGTGTGAGAGAGGGAGAGGGAGATTGTGTGTGCAAGTGAGAGATTATGAGAGAGATAGAGATGGAGATGGAGAGAGTGGAAGTTAAATAATTAGAGAGAGAGGGAAAGAACACTTCGGGCAAAGGGCACTGAGATGGTCTCCAGCTGGCAGTTAGCAGAGCGAGCCGTGCCCTGGCCCTTATTTGTGGAGTCTGGCCTAGGGCCAGCTCCAGGAACGCCAGTCTGGCTTTAGGAAGCCTCAGAAAGGAGACTGAATGAGGAGGTGAGAACAATGTTGCAGGATTTAGCAAGCCTCAGAAAGGAGACTGAATGAGGAGGTGAGAACAATGTTGCAGAAATGAAACTTTCTCTCCTTCTCGCTGAATTTAAATAAATGAATGGATAAATAAGTAAGCAAACAAACAAACAAATAAATGAATAAATAAATAAATAAGAGAGAAGTGTGAATACCGGTTCCTTCAATGCCGGCCTGTGCTTCCCTTCAAGAGCTGATGTCCACCTGCCCTCCTGGCCAAGCCCTGGGGCCGCCTTCCCAGCCCGAGGTGGTCATCACAGGGATTCGGGATGGGTGGGGGGACTTGAGGTGACCCTGAGCCTGGCCTAGGGGCTTCAAGTCCCCAAGAAAGACACGGGCCCCCGGAAAGCTTCTCCCGCGTTCCTCGGCCGGCTGACCTTGGAAAGCTTCTTGGCTGTTCCTCTGTCAGGCAGCTGCGAAGCTGCGGACTCAGGCGAGGGTCTCTTTCCTGGGAAAGGAAATCGTTTTTGGAGAAGTTGGACCATTTTCTTGCAAGGGGACAATGGAAGCGTCAGTAGCTTCCACTCTCAGGCCCTCATGGAATCCTAAGACGCTCAGAATGCTCCCCTCAGAGGATGGTTAAAGGCAGTTCCAGCTTTGGGAGCAAACTGGGATGTGTTTCGGTGGCGGCTACAGAGGGAAGTCAGCCTTGTCGTGGTCCTTGTCCTCCTCCTGGATGTCCGGTGGTGCTGGCGCAGCAGCCGCTGCCCGGGAGGCGGGCACGGCTGCCTGCATTTGCCTGGTAACTTGATGGGAAATGGCAAGCCTGGTGTGGAGCAAGGGGTGAGGGGCACGGTGGGGAGGGGCACCCGGGGGAGGAGGACGGGGGGAGGAGCACAGCTTGTGGAACTGAGCTGTGATGCAGATGTCAGCTGGTCACCAAGTGCCCTCCTTCCCCTCACCGTGGAATGTTCTGGGGAAACAGGAGGCAGACATGTATCGATCCTCTTTGTAGAACAGGCTTCTGCCCGTCTTTTCCGAGCTCCGTGTGCTGGATCCAGCTCAGTGGGGCTGGTCTGGTGAGTCCGTCGGGGTTCTCCAGAGAAACAAAACCAATGGAATGCACAATGAAGAGGTTTACTGTAAGGAACTGGCTCACACAGTTGTGGAAGCTGTCAAGTCTGAGATCTGTAGGGTGTACCAGCAGGCTGGAAACTCAAGCAGGAGTAGATGCAACAGTCTTTTTTTGTTTTTTCAAATTTATTTTATTTTTTTGTACAGCAGGTTCTTATTAGTTATTATTTTATACATATTAGTGTATACATGTCAATCCCAGTCTCCCAATTCATCCCATCCCTCCCCCCGCCGCTTTCCCCCCTTGGTGTCCATACGTTTGTTCTCTACATCTGTGTCTCTATTTCAGATGCAACAGTCTTGAGGCAGAATTCCTTCTTCCTTAGGGGAAGCTCAGGTTTTGTTCTTTAGACCTTCAATTGATGAGATGAGGCCCACCCACGTTATCAAGGATAATCACCTTTATTTAAAATCAATGGTTGGTAGATGTTAACGGCATCTGTGAAATACCTTCAGACCAACACCTTGATTGGCATTGGATTAAGTCACTGAGTGCAATGGCCTGGCCAGGTGGACACAGGAAACCGACCACACCTGGTGCTTCTGGCCCCTTGGCTGGTCAGTGGTTAGTGCGGCCATTCCTTTCAGATTTGCAAATCAGCATTTCCTGGGGTAGCCAGTTCCCTGTCCCTGAAGGGGCTCAGCCTGGCTGGATGGGAAGTGTTGGGGGCTGTCGCACATCAGATTGATGGTCACCAGGACCGGCCTTCAGGCTGTGATCTTGTGGAATATTGCAAGTGCGTGGTAAGGCACAGTCTGCTCTTCAGAACATAACGGGCTGCCCGAAGGGGCATGGAGGAACGAAAAACTCAAAATTCATCAGCGGACCTAAGACCCATTTCATCTCGAGGATTAGAAGAGGCCAGCAGACAGAGGGCTGTCCGGGATCAGATCTGCAGATTTTGCCAACTTGAGGCGTGATCTTTACACGTGTCAGCTCCAGTTCCATAAAAGGGAACATGGACCTGCATTGACTCTGCTTTCATTCTAGAGACCTTGAATGGGCACCTGGCTGTACCAGCTCTGCCCAAAGTGTCAGGGGGCAGAGGCCCAGGTCATGGAGATAGGGATCCTCCCTGGAGGGGCTCGCGGCAGAGACACTGCAGAGGTGAGCGTGGTTGAGCACCAGGGACCAGGATGCAGCTCGTAAATGTGCCGCCTCCCTGCATCTTTCCGGAGATGCTGGCTGTCTCACCCACCACCTGGAAGCCCCAGACCAGGGGTGCTGGGAGTTAGGGACTGCAGCAGGAAAGGAAGCGCATCTCCTGGCCCCCAGCCCAGTAGCTCCGTCTCATTGTCCTTGCTCTGAGATTTTGTGTGGTGGACTTCCGTACAGTACACTTGCCTCTTGAAGTCAATTTCAGGGGGAGTTTACGTAAGTCAAAAATTGGACTTTGGCTGGAATGGGCAGGCTGTTACCTTTGTGGCCCCTTGGTGCTCTTTTGCAAACAACCCCCGGGGGGGGAGAGACCCCTGTACAGC